GGCTTAAGAGGGCAGGTCTTCTTTGTCAGGGAGGGACCTAGGGGGCGGATTTCGGCAGGGGAAGGGAGGGGCTGTTGGGGATGAGGGACTCAGTCTGGCGTGGCTAGGACAGCTTGGGCTGAGCAGGTACCAGCCCTGAGTAGGTACCAGCCCTGAGCAGCAGCAGAGGAGTCCAGACCAGTGAGGGCTGGAGGGGAGTGCCCAACAGCAGCACTTTGAGAGCCGGCTGGAAAGACCCCGAAGGCTTGTCCGTCTGCCTGGCTGCAGTAGGAAGATGTAAATCCGGGTTTTGGTGCCTGTTGCTCCGAGGGGCCCCGCTGGCTGTGAATTGCAGGGTCACGGTCCGTCTGATTTTCTCTTCTGAGGGGACACAGCTGCCCTAGCCTTTTTGAAAGCCGTCCAGTCCTCCAGGATGTCGATCTCCTGCAGCATGTACATGAGGTAAGGGCCAGAAACGAGGGGAGCCTTCTTCCTCTTGCTGGGCGGCAGGGAGTCCCCAGGTCCTTGAGCTGCCTCTGGTGGGCAGTTTGTCATCCCACCACTCCGAGCTGATGCCCAGGCTCTGGCGGTCCTCCTCCAGCCTCTGCATCCGCTCCTGCAGCTCCCCCTGCAGCGTGTCACAGAGCAGCAGCTTCTCACTCTCCAGGTGCTGCTCAGCTCCCTGCAGCTCACTCATACTTATTCCTGATCACGTCCAGACAGAAGCCCTTGTAGATCCCTGCCACCTGAATGTGAATCTTGAGGCTCCTCTGGAGCCCCCCGCTAGGGGCTCTGTGTATTTGGGTGCTCTCTCAGCCCCCATTTCCTCCAGCCGCACCTGCAGCTGACTCAGTCGTTCCCTGAACAACTTCTCCTTTAGCTCCGAGAACTGCTTCTCCAGGTCCAGCATCTCATTGATGCACTTGCTGCGGCGCAGTTTGTAGTCCTCATCGTCCATCTCTGAGCTCTCCTCCTCGGCTGCCACTTCGTTCCTCCTCACTCTCTTCTTCCTCTCTGTTCATCTTGGCAGCCGAATCACCCTCTGCTTCCATCTCTTCTGTGTCTTTGCTTGAAGGCTGGAGCGGCATCTGGGCTCGCAGGGAGTGGAGCCTCCGGCCTCAAGTCCGAGACTCTCCGACAGGTGCCCGGTGCCCGCTGCTGCGGGTGCTGGCCGTCACCCCCAGTGAAGATTTGAGTTCCTTGATGTGCATGCTCTCAGCTGAGGCGAACAATGCAATACCTTCTTGTTTCCGCTTTCCTACAGAGATGACCAGAGGATAGAGCAGACAGGGGACAGGGCAGTGTAGAGCAAGAAGGTCTGGCTCTGGGGCCATTTGGATAGCTTTGAATCCCCAATCTGACACCTGTTAGTGGGATGGTCTCAGGCAGACACTTAATACTTCTGAACCTCACTTTCTTTTTTGTAAAATAAAGAAAACAGAATATACCACGATAAGTTGTTTTTAGGATTTAAGATTGCTTCTGGGTAGAAGCAAAGGCAATACAGTTATCTCTCTCTTTTTAAAAAAATATATTTTTACAGAGAGGAAGGGAGAGGGTTAGAGAGTTAGAAACATGAATGAGAGAGAAACATTGATCAGCTGCCTCCTGCACACCTTCTACTAGGGATGTGCCCGCAATTAAGGTACATGCCCTTAACTGGAATCGAACCTGGGACCCTTGAGTCCATAGGACAACGCTCTATCCAATGAGCCAAACCGGTTAGGGCACAGTTATCTCTTAAGGTGAGTAAAATTCAATAAAAAAACACATGTCATCAAGGAAGACATGTCCAATGTTTGTAAGAGTCAGACCAACAGCTACCAAGATTATCCAGTATCAAACTTATCTTGATGTCTAGCTTTAACAGAGACAAACATTTTGTCACCTCTCATGTGCTTTCATGACCTTAGGAAAATTTCAGCTTGTTCTACAAAAAATTTATATACAAACCTCTTAACTCGCAATTGTAGCAAAAAACCCTAAAGTTTGTACATTTCTAGATTATTTACATATATATATATATATTTACATATCTATCTTTAAATCTATCTACAAAAGTAATACCTATCTCAGAACCCGTCAGGGAGGCAGTGTGTAGTGGCATAAACATGGGCATAGAAATCTGGAGGTTTCAGTACCAGCTCTCACTTAAACAAGATGCCTCAATTTGTTTCTCCTGCTGATAAAATAAGGTTAAGCTTGATGATCACTGGTTCTAAAAACATAATGACTTATTCTACAATAATGCCATTCCCACTGTTGTTACTTTAGAGTGGTCAAAATGAAAACATTTTTGTTATATACAAGTAAACAGATACACATCCATACCTCACTCTTACAGAACCAGCCAATTCACAAAACCTTAAAAGAGAAAGGACGAGGAAGTCTGTGGTTAAATAATATAATTGCAACATCTCAAAGTCCTGAGCTTGCTGTGAAACAGCTGTTATTTTCCCTCTTTACATACACATATGTGCTTTCCCCTCACTTTCTATAAGACTGTGGCATATGATGCATCTAGTAATTCTGATAACGTTCAAAAACAAGGAGGTCACTTTTCAGAAATCCTGAGCCCATCAGAGAAGTTAAATGGTATTTCATCAGTTGTCTCGACCGGCACGTTACTTCTAACAAAATGACACGAATAATGGTGTGTGTGATGACTTGCAATAAATGCATCTGCAGTCCGGCTGCATTGACAGCTATCCGACGGTACGGCACTACTTGAATTACCAAGATGTGAATGGTAAACACCAAGGAATGAGTCTTGAGAAGAATGATAATGTCCAGCTCCCACTGAGGTGGATGTAGAACTCTGGTAAGGGCCACTGCACATAATACAAGTTTGAAAACAAGTCTTCCTTCCTGAACCTCGGTGGATGTCTAGTTTAGCAATGAGAGGTTTCCCAACATTCACTTCCTGCTTTTCCTCTATGGTATCTTCCAATCCGGAGTACTGATATGATAAGCATACTGTGAAGATCAGATGTTCCTGAAAAGGAAAAGGAGTAAGTATATTCAAACAAGTATAGAAAAACCAAGCAACAATGAAAATCCACTCACACTCCCCTTCTCCAGGTTCCAAATACTCAGGCATCCTTTACACCTTCCCTA